CAATTCGGACCCGGAATAACAACCGTGGAACCAAATGAGGCCGGCATGGGTGTTGGAATCCGATTCACGACGCAAACACCGGTTGCTGTATACTTTCCATGTCATGAGTAAAATCGGTACACCTCTTCAATGTCCGGTTTTGTAAGTAGTTATTATTAGTTTTCATAATTTCAAACTTTTCTGAACTTTTGGCCGGTAGCTTGAACTCAGGGGCAGGAGAAGATGCGAGGTTCATGGGAACTATTCGACCTCCTGCAGTGACTCTGTGATGTTTGGGTGACGCATGTTCCTTCAAAAATCGGGCGAAACCTGCATCACTTTGGGCAAGGTTACCTTGGGGCGCGTTTAATGGTTGGCGACGAGGATACTGAACACTATTGGCCTGTGAGAGCAACAATCCGTCCTCGTTACTCAGAGAGAAGCTCGAGGAGATTCGGTGACGGTTAACCGGTTTTTCTGCCAACACCCGATTCTCAGAGTGTTCTTTGCGGTGCCTTAGAGAAGCGACTGTGATATCTGTCAGCTTGGCGTCAAAAGAAGGGATGATTTCAAGGTAAACAAGAAGATATTACACACCATCGATAGTATTACAGCTGTAAGAAAAAGAATCACTTTTTGCACCAAGCCGACGTCCAATATCTAACAATGTACGAATCTCGTATCTCCTGGATTTTGGTTCATTAGACGGTTGTCCGTCCTCCGTAACCCCTTTTCGGGTTGGATGCCCTTCCATGGGCTGCATGTTCGCTAGAGGGTTTGAATTTGAGTTAACACCTCCCTCTTTTCTGTCCCCTGAACTGATCGAAAAACTACAGGTTTTATCAGTAACTGTAACGGCAATAAAAGTAAAAGAATAGATTTTCACATTACCTTGCCCAGGAGTGAGGTTCGTCCCCGTAGGTATTCGTCACAAGGGAGATAAATCATAAAACACTTGAATAGAAATCAGCCAGAACTGCTGCAAATCAGCCCCACAAAAAAAAAAGAAAGAAATTGGAAAATAGTGGAAAATGAAAAGCCATTCAGTAAGAAATCGGGGCACCATGTCACGGGCAAATTTGAGCCATCTTGACCACTGCCGTCCATACTGCAACAAGGCAACAAATACGAAATAAATATGAATTTCCAAATGAATGCCTCAATGAGGTTGACTTTATCCAAGGCCATATCAACTGCGAGGCGAGGACAAGAAGACAAGGCACTGATCACCCATCCAATGCCACACAACACGAGAAGGAAAACGGCCACAGCCATAAGAAGTTATGGAGAATCCAAACAACACGTACCAATGAAGCAGCCTTCCACAGATGTCCGGAGATGTGAGAAGGCAAGGCCGTCTTTTCTCGCTTTCTCCTTCTCCTTCTCTCCCCCTATAAGGCAAATGACTTCGAAGAATGAAAAATCAAACGTTGTAGTGGAAAAAGTGGGTAGATGCCCGCCAGCGGATTTTTCAAAATGGAGCGGTCGAGGGTTCAAAGATAAGCAATGAGGATAGGAGAAAAGAAGACACAAAAAGAGGACGCAGGAGAGTGGGATTGATGATGGTATAGGGGACCAAAAAGAAAAAGACAAAAGACAATCGACTTTATATTTGGCTCCCTTTAACGCGTCCTCTATACTTGGGCCAAACTGAGCAAAGTCCTTATGCCTAAGTGAGAGGGGTTGAACTACCCAACCGAGCAAAACGCGCGTGAAATAGGGGGAAGAAGAAGAAAAGATATGAATCCGCAGGTATCGAACAAGAAGATGAGATGCCAAATAAGGAGTGAGAGAGAAGGTAAGAAAACGTAGAGGGGAATGGGCCGAAGAATGCGATTCTGCAAGGGGGACAACGGAGTGGAAGATGAGGGGGCTGGATGGGATTGTTGTTTTGTTGCTGTTGTTGTAGCAGAAAAGGGAAATGGGATAGAAAAACAAAACAGAAGAATCCAGAGGGAGGAAAGGGAAAGGAGGAGGAAGGAGAGAGAAGGCATGGTACACAGTCATTGTGGGGGCAGGCGGGACGCAACTGGTCCAGCAGCTGTGAAATGGATGAACAGCAAGAAGCGGCGACCATGCCGATAGATTGATACTATCTGTTGTGTTGTTGCTGGATGCTGGATTGCCCAGGTAGATGCTGTTGGGAGGGGACACAATCAATAGAATTGGAATCACAACATCTGCTCTATTGCCCCAGTGTCGCTGAATTCACTCATCATCATAAGAGTCAAGATGAGAGCTGTGAGGAAGAAGAGTGTTTCCAGACATTATCTGTATTCAGCTAGGTAAATGAAAGAAACAAAATTCCTGGGCATTCACAAGGAAATCCAGTTCCCGAAGCTTCCAACGCTTTGTATTTAATTTCTTCCTTGTTCTGGTAACTATAGTATAATCATTATTTTTTATTATTATATCCCAATATTAATTGTAGGGAAAGAGTGACTGAAACGGGTATCAATAAGTTGAAGCAACATGACGAGTGAAAGGTCAAGGTAGTATAGATGTAAGCAAGGGACGCCAAATTTCCATGGGATTAACGAACGATAAGGTCAACCGCAAAATTATAGATGGGGATGAGGGAACGAGGCGGAAAGAATGGAAATAACAAAAAAACAAAAGAAAAGAAACAAAAACAAAGAATCAAAAACCAAACTCCTCCTGACGCAGTACACATTGTTTTTGAAGATGTTTGCTTCTACCATTTTTCAAACATGTTCGTAAACCTTCACGGGCTCGGCATTATGAACGACTGTGATATCATCATCGTCAAAGCTCCGCCGCACCCGAGTGCTTCCATTATTTGCATTTGCATTGCTATTGTCAGCGGCAGCAGATGTTAGCTTGCTCCTCATTTCCCAACTACCAGCTCTCTCATGTCCACGGGCAGCGGCGGAGTTAGAAGCATCAGTATTCCCCTTCCCAATGGAAACAATCACGTTTTCAGGTTTGTTCCCCTTCCAGCTCAGTAGATCGGGATCACTCGCGAGCTTATCCCCGCCCTTGAAGCCGCCAAGGTCAGGCTTGCGACGCGTGATGCATGCGATGGAGACGGAGTCCAAACAGCCACCAGACAAGTGCGCCGGCAAG